TCGCCGGTGGTTAACGCTTCCACAAAAAGGTTGTCCGATCAAGAAAACTAGTAAATCGCACAGTGGTAGACCACCTAGCATACAGATGATGTAGATTCGTGAATTTTATCGTGATGTGCGTTGGTAAAATGGCGGCTAGAATTAATCCAAACAATTCTACAGAAAAGTACCCGTGGTAAATGCTATACAAAAATATAAAATGGTTTACATTTTTTTTTATATGAGGTTGGGTGAATTGAGCCGATCAGAAAAAACGCGGTCGACGACGATTCGAACCGCTCTGCGGTAGATGCGGGCAAGTGGAAGGAGCTAGCACTGGGGTGCCCCGGCCCAGAGATGAGAAGCCCAGAGACTAAATTCGACTGTCTGTTAACACTAAGTATAATGTGTAACGACACTATAACTTCTGTAGTTTTAGTTAATAATATAACGAATAAGATACAAAATGGTATTTCCGTTGAACTGATACAGATCAAAGGAACACGTGGGATACACTAGTAAATAAATAAATAAAAACACCAAATGACTATTTATTACTCGAGTCAGGTTAAAAAAGTAGTTTTAATCAGATTGATTTTACCTCTTAGCACGTCATTTCAATTAGTCCAAAGCACACACGCACACGCACACTCGCACGCAGGCGTACACGCACGCGCACACGCACACGCACACGCACGCAAGCACTCACGCACGTACGCTCGCACGCACTATACTAATGGACATTTCCTCGCGATTGTGTAAGTAAAGATTTTTTGTGATATTTTGACTTTGTATGAGATGTTAACTATAAATTAATTCATTATTTTAAAATTGTTGCACGATGTGTGATCGGAATCAAAACTAAGTGCAATGTGCAAACAAAAGCACAAAATCATGTTATCACTTTCCGGAGCTTTCCATTAATAGAACAAGAAAAACTTATGACAATATTATGGTAAGTATTTAAACACTGAATTTATTAACCGTTATTTGTAGGGATTGTAAATATATTGACTCGAATTGTATCTGTTTCAGATCATTTAATAGGGTTAAGTTTCATCATGAGAATTTTGCTAATTTAAATTTACGTTAATAGTCTCTTAAGAGTATTTTTATTAGAAACTAGCTGTTACCCGCAACTTCGCCCGCATGGTCACTGGGAAATGAACTATCCATTGTTTTTTGAATTGAAAGAAAACTGAGTTTTATAGATTTCTCAGAGATGCAGCCATTAAAAGGAAACTGAGCAAAATTGATTCGTCAGCCTAATTACTCGTAAATGTTTTGAAACGCAGCGTATAGGAAAGCACGAAAATAGCCTGTTTTTTCCAAATGGAAATAATTATCCGTCAGGAATGCAGACTTTTGAAAAGAAACTGAGCTAAATTGATTCGTCAGAGATGCAGCCTTTTGAGTTGAAAGGAAACTGAGCTTAATGGGTCCGTCAGAGGTGCAGCATTTGGAATTGAAAAGAAACTGAGCTAAATAGGAAATTTTGAATTGAAAGGGAAGAGCTGTGGGAATTCTGATTAATTGATTGTAGGAATTTTGGAAAAAAAACTAACTGAACACTATTTTAAGACGCTACTGTACACAATGTTATATGTTTTTCCATTCGGGGAAAGAATGTGGAGATTCTGGGCATTTGACACACGCTAACATGCTACATACAGCTGACCATGAGAGAAGCACGGTTTTTCTAAGTTGACCCCCGCTACCTGTAACGTTTGCCCTTGCGCTTTATTAATTGTCATTGCAAAACTTAGCTTAGTAGGGAACTGCAACCTTTTGAATTGAAAAGGAAGATCTGTGGGAATTATAGGGATCCGTGGTATAATAAAATTTTCACCCTTTCCTACGCCTGTCAAAATTGTAGCACCGATTATGTTCCGTCCAAGATGTGTCACACGCAGCCTTGTCCCGTTACATAACCGAGGAGCATCTAAATTTCGCATTAGCATGACTGGGACGCCTAATTTTAATTGAAGCTTATGTGAGGGCACACCTGACAACTCTAGAGAATTTAGAAACTCTACGGGATATGAAGTGCTCTGTTATGTGTCCATAACTATGTCTACTGACAAATACTCTGTTATTTCTCCTGCTACTTCGCTTAATATATCTGAATTTATTTTGTTAATGCTCTCATTTTTGGTGCAAGAATCGCCCTTTCACATAACCATTTGTCTTCATGCATGTTGTTCGTTAAATCTGAATAAACGCTCGCAACTAATTCAGAATGATTCTGTACTAAATTACAAAAATCTCCCGTCAATTTAACGCAGCCCTCAGCATCCGTTTTCAACAGCCCATCGTCAATTTTTAATAGTGTGTCAGCATAGTTTCCAGCATTGATATAGTTATACAAATGCACTCTCATATTCGTAGTTAAACTGAATTTTGTCACATTGTTCCATAAAACGACTTGAGGCATGCTTTAATTTCATCTGCAGGTGTGCCTTTTGAATGACAGGTAAAGTTGGCGAAAGTCACCAGCCAGTAAAACCACCATTCCTCCCATTACATCAGTATTGCTGCGCAAATCCTGGAGCGTTAGATTTAGTGCTTCTACAGCTTTTTTTATGCGACATTGTACTTTCGTCCCACACTAAAAGTTTGCATTGTCGTAGCATTATACCTCGTGCACAATTTTTGCTAAAGTTGCAGATCGGCGATTCTTCCTGGGCTAGATTTAGAGGGAGTTTTAAAACAGAATGTGCAGTGCGGCCCCCGCTTAGCAGCGTGGCGGCTATACCGGAGGAAGCTACGTCCACAGCAATGTTTTTATTTTTCCGTACTTTTATTTTTATGATGAGGCCTAGATTTTTTAAACTTTATTGTAGAATGAGATTTTACAGAATCTCTTCCATATCTTATGATTGCACTGAAATTGTTCACGACGGTTTGCGTGTCCGTAGCTTCATGTGAGAGGAGTTTCAGTAAATTAAAATTAATAAAAAACTATTTGCGGGCAACAATTACCCAATCGTGGCTTAGCAATCTTGGTATATTAGCCATCGAACACGAGGCAATACAAAATATAAATTTCGATGAAGTTATTGCTGAGTTTGCAGCTGTCAAAGCTAGAAAGAAGAAATTTTAATTGTATAACAATTCCTTTTCTGTCTTAGTTATTATTGTGTTTTGTTATTTCCTTAACATTATAAATAATAAATGATCCATATCCTTTATTATATAAAATTTATTGCTTTTTACTTTCGATGGGGTGACACCACCAATTTCCGCACCGGGTGCCACCCAAGGTAGCTACGCCACTGCTCAGATATTTACGCCTCCATAAAACAATATCTTCTCTTTCGACTAACAATGTTCTGCTATCCTGTTTATTGAAATCTAAACCAAGCTCGTGCATTATTTTATGAAGTGTGGTACGTTTGAAAACAGGAATATCTTCGTCAGCTTCGCAAAGTGTTATAATTTTGTCCAATGTCGGGTAGTCGTTATTTATTGTGTGAACTTTTCTCCTTTGTGCACATTTGTCTAGTTCATGTAATTTATCGACCGTCGATAGTCGAGCTCTTTTTTTACGGGTGATTTTAATGTGTTACTATCCTTTTGTTCTTTAACAATTTTATAAACAGTATTTTCGGACACACCACATGCACTTGCTGTTTTTATTACTATGCTCTCTACAGTATTCATTTTCAAAATTTAATGTTGAACGAGTAACACGCAAAATACACAACCGTTTTGTTCAAAGGCCTGACTTCAACTGGTCACTGTGAACTCGACTTTCTAATTTCTTGCATTTTAATTAGCTGGGGGCGTGGCCAGGCTGGCGGACACCGATGACTCACTATTTTCTTAACGCGAACGGACTATAAGTACTGTTCCAAATGTTCTGTAGACAAATTGTGTCTACTATCGCTTAAGGTGAAGTCGGTGCAAAAAGCAGATTTTTCACGTTTTGTAGGTGCGCAGAAAATCTATTTTTTGTCATTAAAAACTACGAATTCACATTTTTTTTAATTATGAAAGTTAAATATTTTTTTTGGTGAATTATGGTGGCCAAAACACGATTGACACATTTTGGCTTGATAGAAAAAGATCGCAAAGTTTCCTCAAAATCTACAATTTTAGTTACGTCCACTACGTGAAAAAGCAGTTTCATTCGAATGTAATGAAATCAATTTCAATTAAATTCAGGCTATGTGTTTACCAGTAAATACGTGAGTGAATTATTTTTCAATAAATGACAATATGGGTATTTTTAACTTCTGATGACGAAAACAAAAAAGAATCATTTAGATAAATTTTGCATGAAATACCTATAAATATCAATAATTTAGGTCATAATCTACTATAAAAAAATATGCACCGAGCTTAAGACTTTTTAGTTTCACTAGAAATACCTTTTAAAATCTCGCACGTCCATGGTAATGACACTGGATCCAGGGAAATGACTTTCATACAATTTCTTTTACCATGGAAAAGACTTCACACCATAGATATGACATTCCATATATGCTTTATAAAAGATAAAGACACGAATTATATATATTATCCAAAGAAATTGTGATACACAATGATAAATATATTGGATTTATTTAAATCAAAACAAGCAAAAGTTCGAAAAATCAGCTTTAATTGCTTTGAATTTGACTTTAAAGCTAATTATACAGGGGTATTTTTAATTTATTGTTGACAGTTGGGGATGATACTACCCGTCTATACGAACAACTTTGATTGTGAGATCAAGTTCGAAATCGCGTAAAAAGGTCTGCTGCTCCATACATTTGGGTCGAGTAGATAGAAACATTATCTATGGAATTCACACTTACTTCCGTAGTAAAAGTTTTATGTACGGATCCGGTCCAAACTAAATTATATATAACCCTGTACATTTTTTAATCATAATTGCTAAAGAGATCAAAAACATTACACTTATGGCACCATCTAATTTCAGCCCTTATATAATACCTTAACATTATAATAAAAATAAAGTTTAAATAAAATGATAATCAGAAAATATTGAAGTCTTCACTCTCACTGTCAAGTACCTCACCCTCGTGTTCTTCCGCCTTGCTATTCGGTTCCCAATCCTCCTGTTCTTCGGCCTCACTATTCTGTTCCCTATCCTCCAGTTCTTCACTCTCACTGTCCAGTTCATTATCCTCCTTTTCTTCAGTCTCACTAGCCAATTCTTCCTCCTGTTCTTCGCTATCTCTCTCATCTGTTTCTTCCCGCCGATCTAAGTTTTCCTCGTTTACTTCAACCGTCGGATTTCAGTTTCCGATTCCAGTTCAAGACTTTCAAAAATATGCAATGGGTTAGAAAACTCTACATAACTGCTGGGCAACGAGTAGTGTAGACACCGTTCTCCGGAGGCGCATGTCAGGCATGTTAATTTTCGTAAAAATATTTTTTGCGCCATGTGCGAGTCCCATGTCATTTGATGAACTTTTGTGATTCCGGAAACACTATTGATTTTTCGTTGCAATAGCTTATTAAGTTCTTCAATTTGTTTCGTAGTTACGGTTGAAATTATGACATTGGTAGTGTTTTCTCTAATACACCTCATAAGTTTATTGAAATCAGGTATATCTGACCCTTGACCAACAATACGATCTGCGGTACGCTTGATTACGGCACCCACTCCATCCATGGGCCCTTTGCCATGGCCCACTTCACAGAAGTTCCACGTCACAGTTTTTAAACTGTATCTCTTTCCCAAGTATTGAGTATACAGATAGAACATGTATCTGTTTCTGTACTGTGCACTAGGACCGTCGCTTAAAATATGCAATTTCTGAATTGTACGTGACGATACAATTAGATCTAGTATCTCTTAAAGATGAGCACATATTGCACTTGCATCGTGGCGTAAATTCTCAGAAAATGTGCATAATGAACAACTATTAACTTTTGCGTATCTGGACATCTATAGTAATAAACACCAGTATGAAAACTGACTTGCTGTCTAGAAGCACCGAAATGGACTGACTGAATCTCAGTCGCATATTTACAGCAATAATTTTCGGAAAAATCTATCTGCATAAAGATTTCTCCATCAAGAAGGTTGTTTTTCATTAAGGTAGTTTGTTTGTATTAATGAGAAATATTAAATTGATGCTCTAGAAACATATTTAAATCTTTTAAGAACGATTCTACTAGCTCTTTTCTTGTAACTGTTTTCTGCCCTTTTACTGTTCGTCTAATTTCCTTTTCTTTTCCTTTAATCAATCGCTTTCCTTTTACGACATACCACGTTTTGTATGTAGTGGTTTCCGAACCAACAAAAGATTGTACTTCAGGTGATTTATTCAGGCAAACATGACACTTACGTAACATGCATGCCTCCTTATTGATATCACAAACCATGCTTTTGCACAAGTCTGTTGTTAGTTAAGTTTGTAGAGTTAAAAATTCTCAAGTGTTTCAAATGATCAAACTTGAGTTGCATATTTTCATGTGTAACACACAAACATGTATACCTTTCAGAAACTTGACAAGAAACGATCCAAAAAGGACGCATCCGGCAAAACGTTGCAAGACTAAGTTTCGTCTTGTTTTCGATTTGAAATTTGGCATGGAGATTAGTGAGTTTATTACACAAGTATCGTTATTATTTTTTCATTTTGTTCTTGGTGATGACATCTTTTTTTCCCGGACACTGCTTACTGTTATCACGTTTTGAGAAGGCAATAATTTTTGAATGCAACCGTTTAATTTTTTTTGTAACAATCTCTTTAGTAGCAATTTTCTGCAGCGGACTAGAAAGATCCTGGATTTTATGGTTGGCCCTCAATAATTGTACCCGTAATGCGTGATTTTTTTCCATTGATTTGATTACAGTTGCCTGCATTTTTATTTTGAGATTGGACTCCTCACGTCGTTTTCGGACATATCGAAGACCAGCTACTTTTTGCCTACTTAAATTGGAGCTATGAGAAGGTGTGTGACATTCTTCTCTGAAGAACGACGATCCAGGACTAACAAACGACCTTCTGGAAATCGAAGAAGCAGGAGACAAAGGTTGAGAAAGGGAAGACACATTTTGTTGAAAATAAGGGCTCGCTACGTTTTGGTCATCAGCAATGGAACCCGGAGTATTCTCTCGCAAATTTTGTAGTAGTCGCTCATTGTGTTTTTTATTCTGTCTACTCCTAGCTTTACGTTCTCGCCATTTACGTTGCTTAGCACGCCGTTCTCTTGGATTCATTTTGGACACTAGTTTTACCTGTTTTTTTGCGTCGTTTTTCTGAATAACGCTGGTTATCTTTTTTTTTACTGGCTTCATACAAGTCTGGGTCAGCTTTAATACGAGCTCTTCGTCTTCGTTCGCATTCTCTCTTTTGTTTACGTATTTCTTCTGCTGTCTTTGGTCTTTTATTTCTCGCCATCTAAAAAAAATATTTAATTAAACATGTATTAAAAAGAATTTTGTAGATGTATATGTCTGTAATGAACAAAGAAAGAAGCTAAAGAAATAAGTCCAGTAATCATTTCAAGTTAAAGTTCACATCCCTGGATCTGAGGTGATTTCCATGGAAAAAAAATATCCACGTAATCAATGTAAGTGACATCCATGGAAAGGAAATATTTTAATTCAAATGCGGAAAACTAACCTCAAAAATCTTGTATTAACAACCTATTTTGGCCATCGTTTATGGACCATCAAATCTACAAAAACAGCAGTACAAAATGTAAATTAGACAAATATACTTACTTGTCAAAACAACCACAGTAGCGACTAGTATGCTTGACGAGTTTTAAATCAGTAATTTAATTGATTTTTCATGCCAAACGTAATGCAGCCGGTAGGAAATTGACAACTAATTATGATTATGACAGGTGTCGCCTTGTCTTTCCTCAGATAAATTCGGATACACGCACGTTTTTTTATAAGCGAGAAAAAATTCAGTCAAATTTTGAAATTAGGTTTTTTTGTTCTTTTTTTTATCATTTAGTTATAAATTTATTCGCATGTATGGGTCATTATCTATTATAGTTTACGATAATTTAAGAAAATTTATGGAAAATAACGTGAAAAAATATATTATATCTGTAAATTTGCTTCAATCACATCCGCGGAAAAGACATTTTCATGCTTATTTTTTATATTTCAAATAATATATAGAATAAAATGAGTATGTTTTCGTGTAGACTTCACCAGACTAGGTAATATAACCTTGATAAATATATCAAATCCATGTGCGTTATGTTATCATAGAAATAAATTTCAGTCACAAATATTTTTACTTAAAATGAGAAATACCAATATATAATTTTAAAAAGAAACATCAAATAAATATTGTGCGATAAAATAACGCGCGGGCCGACCAAACATTTCCGCCAGTCGTCCGCAGCGCGTCGTAGAGAGCATCTGTGTACAACTTTATCACGCCCGCTGTCCTCGTATAAACGTAACAATATATTTAAAAAATATTGATAACCGTGGTATGCCATTGATATATGAATAATTGTTTCGGGTCTGTATGTTAGTTCTTGTGCAATTTATGTTTGTGAATTGCCTCCACGATACAGGAGAAAATCCTAGTGTGGGGGTAACATTATAAAAAATACTAGTAAAACACTTGTAGGCTGCCTAGTTTATTTCTATGTTGAAAAGTATTTCATCATTATTTTATTTGGACATCATCGTCCAAGACGCTTGGGATAAAAATTTATAAAAAATATATTTGTTGGTACTTATTAGTTTAAAAGAAGCGCATTGGACGATAGTGTCCAAGTAAAATAATGATGAAGTACTTTTCAACATGAAAATAAACTAGGTACATACTTCGCTAGGTATGTACCTAGTTTATTTTCATGTTAAAATAAACTACATTATTTTCATGTCAAAAAGTAAGTATACGTCGACTCTTGAGTAAGCACCTATAGGCATAGGTACAAGTCGTATTATGTTGTACCTGTCTATAATCTAATATAGGTATCGCTACACGAGGAGGCTCTTTTGGTGCATCAAACTATTTTATAAATAAACGCTGGCTATAGAATAGAATAGAATAGAATAATTTTTTATTCAATATAGATTACAAGTAATTCTTATTGAAAGTCAATATTTTACTTTACCACTGGTTCGAAAAAAAACCTCTGTCCTGGGAAGAACCAGCAAGAAACCCAGCGGGACTTTAAAATAAATTTTACAATGTCAAGGGTTACAAAATATTTACAAAATTTATTTTAGAAACAGCTTGGAAGCGACCACCTCATTCCCAGGGGTTATTATCAATCGTTTATTCATTTATATCACAATAACCCTTCAGTTTTTGTTTAATTAAATATTTAAACTTGGTAATAGAGAAACCTTGTATATTTTCTGGGACTTTGTTGTAATAGCGTATACATTGCCCCAAGAATGAATTACTGACACTGGAGTTGAGAAACTGGCAGCATCAGTTTGTGTTTGTTCCTAGTGTTTACAGAGTGTTTATCACTTTTTTTACTAAAACTACCTTTGTTTTTGTGAACATACATCAAATTTTCATAGATATACTGAGAGGCCAAAGTTAATATATTTATTCCTTTAAATTTTTCTCTAAGAGACTCTCTCGATTTAAGGTATATATAGGTATAAATAGCTCTAACGGCCCTCTTCTAGAAAACAAAAATAGTTTCTAAATCAGCCGCATACCCCCATAGAAAATTCCATATGACATTATGCTATGGAAATAACTGAAATAAACTAATCTAGCTGTCTCGACACTAGTGAGATCTCTAATCTTCTTTAAAGCATAGCATATATCAATCAATTAAAATATATTTGTATACTACGTAGATGTATTCAACTATTAGTGGGTTATTAAATAATCCTACACTTATAAAAGTGCGATCTGCAGCTTGTCGCTAGGCTTGGGTAAAAAATATCGAGATATTGAAGTATCGATATTTTCTTATATATGTATACACATATATCGTCGATACTTATAAATCGCGATGTATCGATATTCAATATTTATCGTGGAGTATCGAATTCGTATTAATTTCGATATATTTTAAAAATTTGTATTAATCGACAAAACATTAAGCAATATTTTGTCGATTAATACAAAGGGCGATAGGGGGATAAGTCGCTCGTGTCCGTAGGCTTCGACCACCTAATCCTAGGCTCACCCTACACGTTTCCCCCGGGTGGTGCTAAAAGAGCGACAAAGCCGAAAGAACAGACTCGGCTACTCTCCGTGTGGTAGCGGCGTAAAATATACCACCCCCTAGTTTTCGCACCATGAGGCAAAGAGGAAAAGAAATGGCCTCGAGTTCCCGGCGCCCCTTTAATGGGCAACGAGATTCGCCACCCGTCACGTTCTGTCTCCCGGAGGGGCGAAAAGAGGATTGCGGAGGCCCGTATAGCTACGCTGAATGTATGTGGAGCAATGAATGATAAGATGGATGAAGTATGCGATATGATGTATGATAGAGGAATAGATGTGTTGTGTCAATGAGACGAAGCGGAAGGGAAAGGACAGTTGGAGTGAGGAGGCTTGGCTATGAAAGGATACTGGGAACGTTTGTGTGGAAAGGAATCCTTTTGTGACAAACACTTTCTTTCGTCATAAGAAGATTCACATGTATACTTGGGAAAGAGGTGATGATAGAAGTATGATAGATTTCATAACTGTGGATGAAAGAATGAGGAGCGCAGTGGTGGATACAAGGGTTTACCGGGGGACCAACGTAGGGACAGACCACTACCTGGTATTATGCCGAATTAGGGGTTTATTGAGACGTTGGCGGCATCGGACATCTGTGTCTACCACTGCGTTACAGCGTATAAGAATTGAAAGGTTACAAGATGTAGATGTGAAAGATAAGAACAAATGTAGACTGAGAGAAAAGATAAGTAATTTGGATGAGTTGTATGTGAATGAGTTAGACTTGGAAAATCTGTGGCATAATGTTAAGAAAGGTATAGTGGATGCAGCTACCGAAGTATGTGGTGTTAGTAAGAGAACGAATAAAAGGAAAGACAATACGTTATGGTGGGATGATGAGGTACGCATGGAAGTTGAAGCAAAGAAGAGAGCATGTCTAGATTTACTAGCAACCAAAGCTGGTAATTCTGGCGGTATGAATGAAGAGATTGAAAGAAAATAGGCAGAGTTTAAACGTCTAAATAAGAGAGTAAAAGAATTAGTTGAAAGCGAGAGCAAAGAGACAGCAAAAAAGCAAGAAAGATCGGATAAGAATGATAGAAGAATATCGAATAACTTCCAGGCAAATATTAAAAAGTTCTGGAAACTCGTAAGCAATACCAGGGGATATTCGAAACAGCCTAGATTGAATGCGATACGAAACGAGAATGGCTGTATTCTGAATGATGAAGTGTTGAGTCTAAAGAGATGGAGGGAATATTTTGAAAGCGTATTTATGAGTGAGGAGACGTGTGAACTAAACGAAATAGAAATTCCGAAAGAAGATGAAAGAGATAGGGAGATAAGTATAGATGAAATAATGAAAGCAATGAAAAGCATGAAAGTAGGTAAGGCAGCCAGATATGATAGAGTTTCACTCGAAATGCTAAGGGCTAGAGAGGAAGTGGTGGCAGGCCTGCTGTACACCTTATTTAATTTATGTTTGGAACTAAAGCGGGTACCGGGAGACTGGTGCAAAGCCGTGATAGTCCCAATATATAAGGGAAAAGGTTCACAGCAGGACTGTAAAAACTACCGTGGTATCAGCCTTCTTAGCATTGTGGGAAAACTGTATGTTAAGGTATTAATTGAAAGAGTTATGAAAGCAACTGATGAAATAATTTAGGATGTGCAAGCGGAATTTAGAAAGGGAATGGGGTGTACAAATCAAGTCTTTTCCATGCGCATGATCGCGGAGAAGTTTTTGGCGAAAAACCAAAAAGTTTTTGTGCGTTCACGGACTTGGAAAAGGCTTATGACAGAGTTGACAGGGATGTGTTATGGCAAACGCTGAACTCATTTAAGTTGAACGCTGGGTTGATAAAGGCATTAAAGTCTCTTTATAGGGACTCGAGTGCTTGTGTTAGGATCAACGGGGCCTACTCGGACTGGTTTGGTATCCATAAAGGTGTCAGACAGGGTTGTGTAGCTTCGCCGTGGCTGTTCAACCTATTTATGGACAGTTGTTTGGAAAATTTGAAAGTTGAAGAATGCGGGTTAAGAATGGGTGAATTAACCATCAAATGCCTTTTATACGCCGATGATCAAGTCATACTTGCGTCGTCGG